TTTACATGGAGGGGACCCTCTCTATGGAGGCCGCCATGTTTTTTACATTAGTCCAGACTGAACAAACTAAACACCTTTTGAGTTTTTATGACAACTGAAGCTACCACAGGTTCTTTTTCATGTTTGGAAGGAGAGGGTGAGGTGAGGGGTGTTCAGCTGCAACATGAAACTTCAACACTTAATATCACAAAATTCTACACACTGAACCTTTAATGGTGGATACAATATTGGTTTACAATAGATACTAACTAAGCCCAAACAGGAAATACCACCTGTCTCACCATCCAACAAAACCCAGAGAGTTCTAGCAACACGTACTGGAGTACTTGACAGAAAAAAACTAAATAGACAGCCACTGCATTAAATTATGATAGGCTCTGTGTCTGCTATGAAGAAATAGCCTCATAATTATCAATGTCAATCAAATAAAGTATTTAACACCAAATCACTAGCTATATCAAATATATTGGGACTGCAATAATGTTTAATCTCTGGAAATACATCACTCCTAAATTGTCTGAACACTAAATGTAGCACTGCCTTTAGGCCCAGATTAACTACTCTGAACACATCACACTAATTGATGAGTAACTCATTTAAAGCAACCACAACAACTATCAAGCTTAAATACACTACAGCCACATCTAAGGTGGCTTCATATTTATTAGACAACAAACAACAAAAATTATTATTATAAAAAAAGTCTTTTTAACCACTATTTACACTTCTTAACATCGTGTGTTATTAAAGAATGTGGCTAACAGTTATCAGGATGCTGTATCCTTGTTGAACTTTCAGAATCCACTCACATAGCTCTGAATTATTAGTAAAATATGAAACTGTTTAAGCTGATGTAAGAAAATATTATCTAATGTATGAAAATTGATGGATGCATTGACCTTTGATGCTTTGGACAACTCCTTACAGCAGCAACCCGGACCGAGTCTGTCTCTACACACACTGATGGTATTAGTTATTAGTGCTGCTTAATGGATGACCCCATTCGCTTAATTATTAATGTTTAGCTTATAGCTTTTGATCTCTGTGTGTGTTAATGGCTGCAATTTTTTGTTCAGTGTGTGAAATTATGTCTTAATCAGCCATTGTGATGAGCTACAAATGAAGTGGTTATGGTAATTTTTTAA